AAAAAAAAAAAACATTCTTGTGAATAGATTATTTTCATAGAAGAAAAATGAGAGCACCACTTCCAATCATATTGATTTCAACGTTTTATTTTAATTTTAATGGACCATATATTCTTAATGAAGAGGGAACAGAAGCATTCGACATGTATCTACATTTTTTAATCTACTACATAACGCACAAAACAGTGTTATTTCTATATGAGAATCTGACTGTTATTATAGTAACATTATTATTTTAATTTTTTTTAATTGAGAATGACCCGATTAGCGACAAAACGTATGTACTTATATTTTTAATTTTTTATATTTTTAGTTTTAAATATTTTTAGTTTTAAGTTTTATTAATTTTAATTGGCTCGTAGCCCTTATTATTATCTATATTTGATTTATTTCAATTAAGCCATTTTATCAATTTATATAATATAACATGATTTTCTTGCTCGAATATGTAAATACAAATGAATAGAAAGACAGGTTTTAATCTTATACAATTCTTATTATTGTAATAGCTGAGAATGATTAAGTAAAAAGTTGAAACATTCCATTTATTAATTATCGTGAAAAACTCACGTCTTTTATGATATAATTAATAAACTTTATCATCTTATTTTTAAGCTCGTGTTTGATCTATCTTCGTATTCATTTGTAATATAATATAATTACATTATATTATATTATATGTAATTATATTATAAACACACTTTTTTATAAGGATTTTAAAACTTCTTGGAGCAATGATGAACTTGAATAGAATAATCTGATTTATATTAACAAAACTTGCTTTATGCAACTAACCTGATAATCAGAAATGCTGTCTTTCTTATTTTTAACACCAATACCCAAAGTATTCATGCCAGCAATTACAGGCTTTCCACCGTTAGGATTGTCGGTAAATGCAGCTATGGATATACCTTGTGCAACTAGTAGACGCCATAGCGTGCTTATGTCTTGTATAAATAAAGGATCGTTTACTGCATCTACAAAAAAGATAGAATAAAAAGTGACAAAGAATAGATGTAACTAAATATAATTATAAAAGGTAATCATTTTCTTCCCTATATTAAGTATTATTTTAATAGCGTATTCGGTCCGAGTTTGTATCAATTTGTTCTCAGCAAATATCAATTTACATGTAACGTACATGTTAGTTGTAATTTCTCAACAATATAATTGCAATATAACACATGTGTGAATTAATGACGTTGTACAGTGCAGTGCATTAATTCGCTGGGCCATAGTAGCGGCCTGACTTATCGAAAATAAGAAAATGCAGTACTAAAAAGTTGATAAAAAATTCTGAAAAAATTTTTAGAGTTCTATGAGAAGAAAATAAATGATTTTTGTCTCTTGCAGTTTTTCTGTAAAGTTGATGAAGTATTTGAGTAAAAAATAAATCGATAAGTCGATAAGTCGGGCCTCTACTACAACCCAGCGAATTAATGCACTGCAGTATATGCTCTCCTATTGGATAAAACATAATGTAACATCAACCAGTAGTAGAACGTTATCCAATCCAACTCAGTGAAAACCCACTCAGGTCGAAAATGCTATAAAAATAAAAATAATCTGTAAGATTTCTCTATGTTTTTAAAACGTCAGCTTTACTTATTTTTTCTTACAATCAAATTCATGGACAATAAAAGAAAAAGTCATCAAAAGAACACTGAGTTTTCATATTATCGGTGAAACTTACTTAAACATTGGCAAGTTGGTTCATCGGCTAAGAAGAATGTGCACATGTGTTGAACCGCGTCTTCATACCGATCTTCGGGAATTTCCTGAATCGTGAACTTCATCAGTTTCCCGTCTTTATCCTTTTTCTCTATCTGCTTCCAGACTTTAGGCGGTTGCCCTGACGATCTGATGCGTTGCATTTTGTCTATTTCCTTTTGTAAATCTGCTCCGATAACTCCGATGTTTACTTTCTGCGTGTATAATCTTGTCAAAGGACATTTTGTCCAAACATCGCGGAAACGTGTGATCTTCAACATTTTTAATGCGTCGACTTCTGTTCGTTGCTTACAACACAGTTACTGCCAAGCGACTGGTCTGGTTTAATTATCAACTAAGTGGGGAGAGTCAACTACAGTTGACGCGATCTCAGAACTCTAATCGAGGCTCTAAACATTACACTCTCTGCGCTACTTGCAAATAACGGGCACATCTTGTAATGTTATCGTCAGGAGCGTTTTTAACATCGACGCAACTGGTATAACACACCAACGAGCCTCAAAATCCGCGGATCCTCATAAGCTTCAGGATCCGCGGGCTTCTGCAGATTTCGGTGCGTGATAAACATTAATGAATTTTTTGCTGCAATATTACAGATCTAAGTTGTATAGGAATTGCCTTGAATTAATGTCCGGACTCTCTCTCAACTTTATCTTTGTACCGATTCTTTAGCAGCCTTATAACGCCATTGGCCATCGTAATGTATAATGTTATCGTCTTTCCTGCCTAACTTGTTTGTATATATGTGTGAGTTTTATCTTTATTTGTTTTATCTACAAAATTACAGTTTT